TCCATCCATCCATCCATCCATCCATCCATCCATCCATCCATCCATCCATCCACCACCCATCCACCTCATTAACCCCCCCATCCCCCCACCCCCACTCTCTTCCTTCCATCTGCTCACCCGTCCACCCAACATCCCTCCAGCTCTTTGTCTGTCAGTCCTTCCTGCTGCACCTCCTCAGCCTTGTCTGTCCCGGAGCCTCCCATGCTGCCTGGCGCAGAGCAGGTGCTGCAGATCTACGCTGACCCAGCACAGGTGAGCCGAGGCCCTCCAGCCGGTCACGCCATGCGCTGGGCACTGAGGCTGCGCTAGTGAGAAAACTACCCCAGCGCCGGCCTTCAGGAGACGACAAACGAGACGGTAAGTGACGTGTGTGGCAGAGGAGGGAAGACGAGCCCAGGAGGGAGGAGTCGTCGCTGGGGGTGGGTGAGGCAAAGCGCCACGGAGGTCTCCTGAGGAGACCCTGGGAGACGAGCAGCCCGGGAGAGCGAAGGGCAGCGGGAAGGCCTGAGGCAGGAGCCCAGGCCCTGTGGACGGCACAGAGAGAACGGGAGCAGCCGGAGACGAGGGCAGCTCCACGGGGCTTGAGGTCTCGGTGGCGATTTGGTGTCACCTGTGACACCTGCTGGTGGGGCGGGCGAGGTGTGTGGTGAGATTCTGTTGGGCTGGGGATGAGCTTTGAAGTCTGGACCAGGCTTGCGGTGGCCACAGAGCACGAGAAGGTGGACAGGTGCCGACCACCAGGGCCTGGGCTGGTCCGGGGTACGAGCAGGAACTCGGCTTGGGGCATGTTTAGCCTNGGGGTCGTGGGGAGGAAGCTGAGGGGTCGTGGGGAGGAAGCTGAGGGGTCAGCTGGGACGGCTTCGCTGCAGGACTGGGGGGAGTGTAGGGGGTGCAGACTCGCCAGCCCAGAGGGGTGCCCAGCGACCACCGCGGCCGGGTCTGGGGACACCCGGAGGAGCCACCCTGTGTGTCCGGGTGTGTGAGGAGGGGATGTGCCAACGGGTATTTGTGGCTCAGGCATCAGTGTTGAGCACTTTATTAAAACCAGCGGCTCTTGGGTGTGTGGGGGGGCTCCCTGAGCCCCCTAATCAGGCCACTGGGGGGGGGAGATGGAGGATAGCACCCCGGGAAGCAGAGGCAGGGCTTCTGTCCTTTTAAAGTAAGGTGGTCTCCTGAGGGGACGCCCGTTCCCAGGGGCCGGAGGCAGGCGGCCCTCCTAGTTCCCGGCTTTGGGGCCTTCTCCAGGGACATGGGGCTGCTGGCCGGCCCCCCTCGCAGAGACCCGAAGGTGCTTGAAGGCGGTGGGGAGCGTGCGGCCCAGAAACGGAGGAGTGGTCACGTCTTGGATCATGATGACATATTCCCCTGCGAGAGACGGGAGACACGCTGGGACTGGCACCCGGCAGCCTCTGCCCCCGAGGCTCCTGCCCACGCCCCACCTGAGACCCCCA